AGGTGGCAGCTGTGTCCAGCAGCCTCTTTGCAGAACTCCATCTTGTATGCCAGTTGCACGTGTTTCTGAACCGAGAGTCCTCTAAATCAGTGGTCTCCATCGTGGGAAACTTTAAGACTTGTGGACTTCAACTCTCAGTGTTCCTCAGCCAGCAAAGCTGGCTGAGGAACTCTGGGAGTTGAAGTCCACAAGTCTTAAAGTTGCCAAGGTTGGAGACCACTGATTTAGAGGACTCTCGGTTCAGAAACACGTGCAACTGGCATACAAGATGGAGTTCTGCAAAGAGGCTGCTGGACACAGCTGCCACCTGCTGTTCAAGGAGAGTTGTGAGTTCAAGTCACAGGCTGTCAGTGGGGCAAGGCAGCCCCGGTCAGAACTAAAGTTGGAAATTCTCTGGCTCTGTAACTTAAGCATAAACTCAAGCAGTTCTTGCTCGAGTTGAGTTGAAATCTATTCTTCCCCATCTAGAACCAATCCAGTTTTCAGACAATAATAGAGCACTGACAAAGCATCCCTGGGCCAGCCAGAGACAGCGGTGAACAATTGAGTATCATCAGGATATTGATAATACTTAATCTCATGCTGAAGGATAAACTCATCCTGTGGCCCTTGAATACTAAATAGAGAATGGAGCTCTGAAAATGAGCTCCAAAAAGCAGAAGGCTGGACTTCTCTCCCCATAGGAAGAATGGAACTGGTCCTGGAGAAAAGAGAATTTCAATTGTGTTGTCTCCAAGTACTGCAACACCCACTATCTAGTGTTGTTTGTCTTTCTTATCGACAATTGTTTTATTATGGTTTGTGACACGATCAGCTATATGTTTAGATTGAATTTAGCTGTTTTGTACACCTATTTACTCCTTTCCAAGAACCTGGGATAGAAACATGTTGTTTGATGGAGTTAAAGGTACTATGGCAGGATGTAAGCTGTTCTAAGTAAAGCTGCCTGTTGCAATTGACTGATGGAGATTTTGTCAATGCCGATGGTGTTCAAGGAGTGCTCCAGATTTTTGGGCTTGCAGCCAGGGCATTTATGATTATTGGTACTATCTTGGCTTTCTTTTGCCATAGTTGTTCTGCTTCTATTTGTAGGTCTTTGTATTTTGTGATTTTTTTTCTCTAGTTTTTTCTCTTTTATTCTGCTCTCCCTCCCACCCCCCAGGTTCTGTAGCATCCATTATCCAGACTTATTTGCTTTTCATATCGACAGTTGCTTTATTATTACAGTTAGTTGTGCAGTCAGCCAGATGTTTTATCAAAACCTTGATGCTTCTCTGAGGTTGTTGTTGTTTTTCCTTTTGCAGATGGCCCAGAATCTCGACGATCACTTGCCCACGAGTGTCTTGGAGAAGCCTTAAGAATTCTTCGGCAAATCATTAGCAAGTACCCACTGCTCAACACTTTAGAGACCTTGACTGCAGCCGGGACCCTCATCTCCAGGGTCAAAGGTCAGTGACGGGATGCTCTTACCAGGAACTTTGCTTGCTCCTGATTTGATCTCAGGATGAGCTCCTTAGGAGTGTGAAGCACGGCTAGTGTTTTTCCAACTTGACAACTTTAAGATGTATGGATTTCAACTCCCAGAATTCCCCTGCCAGCTGAAATCTACACATCTTAAGGTGGAGAAGTTGGAAAAAACACTTAATTTCAGTATCCCACTCTCTTTGCTTTAGGGCACCTAGAGAAGGCAAGTAACATTATCTGTGTCATGATGTCATCAGTGGTGGGTTGCTCCCAGTTCAGCCCAATTTGGCCGAATCGGTAGTAGTGGTGGCGGGAGGCTCCGCCCACCCGTCCAGATGCTTCTGCACATGCGCAGAAGCTTCTGTGCATACACAGAAGTGTCATGTGTGCCCGAACCAGTAGTGAAAAAATTGGCAACCCACCACTAGATGTCATTCTGTAAATGATGTGAATTGTATAATCTGCACATGATTGGTGCAAATTACGCTATTTGTGTCATCTGTCCATGAAGGTCAGGATGCTCACAGTATCAACATGGCCTACTTCAGATAACCTGTGAGCCCAGGATTATGAGTAGATGTAGGCTTCCCATCTGTCCTGAGCTATATGTGGCTTGTTTGGTTTTGATTTAATATAATGTGTGAATCCAGTTGTTCTTGCTTATAAACCACAGCTTGTGGCCTAGTGTGTATACAGATGCAATAAATTATGGCCTATTTAACAAGTCATTAAATGTTAGCACATTTCACATTTTGTGAACCAAATTAATAACTTCTGGAATAAATACACATTTATTCCAGAAGTTATAGTATTATAGTGTGTGTACTGTAGACTGTTGAGTAGAGATGTTAGCAAAAAAATATATATTTTAATGTATTTTTTTATTTTTGAATAAACACAAACAGACAAAACACAACGAACACCACAAAAATATCTTCTATTACAAATTGTAAAAAGTGTGTCAATTGGTTAAAAGAGCTTTCATGCATCCCGTCCACAATCATCACCTACAATTCATATCAAATTATATATTTTAAATCAAATATATTTATATATATTACTATCATCATACCTCAATCTTC